AGGCCCGGCTGTGGGCCCGGCGGTGTGGCGGCGGGGCCGAGGGAGGCGGGTGGAACCGGGTGGAACCGGCTGCCCCGGGACCGGGGTGCGCGTCCTGCTGGAGACGTGCTTTAACCCGCGGCTCCTTCCTCTTGTCAGGAGCGGCTGGAGATGCCCGGGAGAGCGAGCGAGTGAGTGAGCAGGCGGCCGGGGGGGGGCTTCTCTCCGGGGCGGTGCTTCCCCGCTTCTCCCTTCCGCAGGAAGTGAGGGGGGTGGGTCGTGGCACTGCGAAGTGGGGAAGCATGGTGCGTATTTTTTTCCCCACTCGTTGCTTTATTTCCTTTTCCTGCATGCTTGTTTTCCTCTGTAGTGTGCCCATTTTGAAAAGTAAAATGTAATCTTTTAACTGTGAAATTTCTCACGTCTTGCTCCTTTCTCATATACAAGTCTGTTGCTGGCTTTGCTTGATACACCCTTGTAGACGGTCATTAGAGCATCCCTAATTGAAAGCTTTTAAAAACGATAACTCAGAGCTTTTTTTTTTTTTTTCAAACCTATCATAAGCTTCCATTTCTAACTTAGTCACGTGTAAGATTTCTAGTGGTCATTTCCATTCTTTAGTTGTTGCCACTGATGGTGAGCAAAAGGGTTAACCGCGCAGACCATAGCTCCATAGAGGGTTGATAAAAAGTTGGTAGATCTTCCATCTTACATCCCTGATGCAATCGTTCTGGGTGCGGGGAGCAGAGGAAAATTGATAACAGAAAGCGGCAGGGGGGCCCTGCCCTCCCCAAACAGCTTTTCTAGTTCCCATTGTTGAAAGCAGACAACTGGGCTGGACGGACCATTGCCTGGGTGGCTCCGCAGGGCATTTCATAGGCTCTTCTGCGAGTACTGGGAGAGGGTCACAGTGCTTAGTTGTATTTTTGAATACTCACTCAGTTTTACTAAAACTGCTTCTGTGTTTCTGACTCGTTGATGAGAGCTTCACAGTTTGCGTTACATTGATAAAACTCTCTCCTACTGGCTTCCAGACAAGGGTTTAGCTGAGGGAAAATTCCTCCAGACAGATGTTGCTTTATGGTAGGCATGCTTTAGGTACTGTTGGGGGAATACCAGTGAAGATGGGGTTTGTCTCTTTTTTTATAACAAGGTAGCTTACTACCAGTACACGGAGAACTGATAGGACTAGCAAAGTGGTGACTTGTAAATATTTAAAAGCTGCCACTCAAACGATGTACACAAATGCTATCCATATGCCTACTTGTGTAACTAGGAAACCTATGAGAAAGTCATGTCTTATTTCTCCTGATTTGAAGCCTGAGCTGCTCTTACTTCGTGAGCTTGGCTGGCCAACAATGAAGATAATTGCTAGTTTAGCAAGGGGATGGTGAATAGTGACCCAGGCAGGAGTATGGGGACTTACTGAGTTACCAGGGCCTGTAATCAAGCTTGTCTGTATGTCTTTACTGTTATTCTGCACTAGGTCAATCAGAGCTAAACAATTACTCTTTCTTTGCTCCTGTTTCGTTTTTCTCATCCCAAAAGGCATGGTCTAGGTCACACAAAAGATTCCTTCTGAGCTTTTCTGGAGGCCTGCAGAGGATTGCCTTCCTTCACTGAAAGCATAAATTAAGTCTGCAGGTTTCTATCATACCTTCTAAATGCAGACAAACACAAGACATAGATTAATTTGCCTCCTTGTTTTTTAAAGTTTTAAAAATCCTATATAAATTCAGGAACTTGGAGCTTCTTTCATGTGATTTTGCGCTTTTTTTTTTTTCTCATGTCATAGTACTGCTACAGTGCAGCTGTGCAACAGTGAAAATTGAGTGGTCCTTCAACTTGCGGTTCTGGGGTTTTTTGGGGTCGATTGGTGTTATTTTAAAAAAATCTGTAATAGCTCTAGCTGCTTTCACTCAGCTTCAGAAGGGTCTCTTGTCACTGGCATTGCCTTGCTGTTTGGTCTGCTGGGTTTTTTATTTATTAAAAAAAAAAAGGCACCACAACATGACATGTGCTTTGTGGAACTTTGTTAAGGATTAGCAGTGAGCTAACGTGAGGAGGGCGATAGCTGCCAATATCACTTTGAGATGTGATGTTTGTCTTCTGCATTCCCAGAAGAAGCTTCTGGTAATGATGTCTGCAGCAAAGAGTACATTATGTGAAGTAACGTTTACCTCTTTCTTCCCTTCGCAGGTAGGGTGGCAAAACACAAAAGAACCTCAGAATGTCTGTGATTCCACAAGGGACAGCAACACTTCGTAAAGCAAAGAAAATCACTGTAAAAACATGCCTAGATAACCCCTTTCTTCTTCAGTGGAAAACCATAGATGGAGAAGATATGCATTTTATACTGCAGACCTTAGAAGAAAGGATTAAACATACTGGACTTAAAAAGATTGAGGCTCCAAGAAAGAAAAAACGTTGCCTTACAAAAAAACAAATGAAAAGGAAGTGTGATACTAGCACCAACGAACTCCCTAAAGAAGAGGAAACAGAAGGCCATCAACAGAAACCAGGATGGACTGACATAAGTATTAGAAGACAGCTTGCTATTGGGGTTAATGAAGTTACAAAAGCATTGGAAAAAAATGAGCTACTTCTCTTGCTGGTGTGCAAATCTGCAAAACCTGCCATGATCACATCACATCTTATTCAGCTGAGTGCAAGTCGAGCCACACCAGCAGGCCAGGTTCCCCGTCTCAGTGAAACAGTTGCTCCACTTCTTGGCTTAACATCCATTTTAGCTCTAGGCTTTAAAAAACAGTCTGATAAATTTACTGAAGCAATAGAAGCAATAATTCCAAAGATACCAGCTTTGGAAGTGCCATGGTTTCAGTACAGAACTGAAGAATCTGTGGCTTACGTACATACGGATTCTTCAGAAAATCAGGAACCCGAGCAGCTTGCAGAGGTACTGGGGGATGAGCTCACGAGCCAGAAGCGGAAGCGTACAGAAAGCAATCAGCTCGATCTTTCAGATATAATTTTACAGCCTTTGAAAATCAAGAAACTTGTTCCAAATCCAAATAAGATAAAGAAGCCACCTCGCAAAAAGAAAAAAGCCTTTTCAGCATAACTAATTTTAGTTTGGTTTGTCATATTAAACTGATTTTTTTTTTTTTTTAATGCGGCATGGAGTACATCTCTAACTAAACTATTCTGTTAGGCTTTACAGTGCAAAGCACCTGAATACAAGGTGAACTTTATGTTGCATCCAGCTGAGGTACTTTTCTGCTTTAATAAAGACTATTGCTCAAATTTGGGTGTGAGTCTTTACCTGGGGGCAAATATTTCATCAGCAGTTGGAGATCAGGGACTTAAAATCGGTACTGAATATGGTGAAGTAATTTAAGACATAAGTACATCTCTGGAATTAATGTAAAGCATTAAACAAACTTTATATTTTTATACAGATGATCATGCTTCAAGCAGAATGGATTTGAGTATAATTAGTCAAACAAATCAATACCAAAAGTGAAAGTTTATTTAAACAAAGGTCCATGCCAGTAGAACTCTTTTAAAGCTGGTTCAGTGCTTCAAATAAACAGCTGTACAGCACAGGCAGACTTCCCTTTAGAACTGTCAGAGTTTCTCTGCTGAACTTGTTTTGGTCAAGAACATATGCAGACTTGGGTTCCATCTAATACCTGGTGTCCAGTATGCTGAAGGAAAAACTTTATTTTCAAATACAGAACAAAATCAAACTACTACTGCTGCATTTTGATAAAAGATTGCCGTATGCACAACTTAACACACATCCTGTGAGAAAATGTAAACTAACCTAAACTCAATTTGGTTTCTAAATGGAATCTAAAATTATTTTCCAGAAAATGGAGATAAGCCATATACTGTTGTATACAAAGTAGATGACAGCTATAACTGCTACAAGACTGAAAACATACCACTTAAGTTTTGAGTTTCCTTCAGTTCTACTGAGGATTACAGTTTCCTAATGAGACAGTTGTAAGAAGGAAAGGAATAGTCCTGCAATTCAGACAGTCAAAATCAATGGCCTAGGAATTTACTGGGCGCTCCATATTTTAAGCAAAAGTCAGTACAGTAGTGTAGAAAAAAGGCATTAAATAACTGAGTTACTCTGTTGTTCCTTAAAGATAGATAAAATTTACATGATGTAGTTTTCAGAGATTTGCTAATCCAGGCTAACAGTGCCATCAGCTAGCTAATCTGTATTTTGAATTTATTTAGTGGTGACTTTAGCTCATGACACCAACTATGAAGGGAGACAGTAGCAACGATTCTGTAGTCATGATGCTCCCTGAAGTTTAAAGACAACTAAGACACTTAATGCCAGAATTTTTGCCCTCCCTGGCTGGGGGTGGCAAGAAGAGGACAGAGGTTTTTTGCCTTGCTTTGTAGTCCTTCATACACATCCTTTATTTCGGCTTTTTGGATGCATAAAACTTTGAAGGTGTGCTAGACTAGTGTATTAATTCCCACACTGGCTAACTGTGCTATTTAAATCTTAGCCTTTCAACAGAGCATGAGGATTAGCTTTGGTAAAGAACATAAGCACTGCAATCATCTTTCAAGAACTTTGCTGCCTGCCCAGGTCTATAGCTTTCCAGGGATTTGTGTCCCCTCTGTAGATAGGAAATTAGGAAGGAAATGACAGATGTTTCAAAAGACTGGTGGGAAAGGTGGAGGAGCAAGCAAACCTTGAGTTTGTGAAACCGTCTATTAGGTTTCGAGGAGTCTTACCTGGTATCTGTTCGTAGCTAGCCAAATGCACAGACCGGTTCAACTTTGGAAACAACAGGAGAGCTTCTCCTATTGAGCTGCCCACGGTGGCGCCCACATGGAGAATAACCTTTTGTTAGGTATCTGCTTAGGAAGCGAGAGGGAGTTGCCACACTTTCCACCTCCTGAGAAACACTACTATTGTGTGGGTGCAGGCTGGGACACCATCAAGTTTTACATCCTCTCGCTGCTGTGCTACTTCAGCGAAGCACTTGAGGTGAAGAGCAGGGCTGTCCAAAAGGTTTGAGTGCTCAACAGGGACAGAGGAGACCTTGTTGGGTTACACAGCTGGTAGGCAACACACACAGGTTTGTGAACAGAACCCTCCAGGAACTGCCCCAGCACTCAGGCTCAGATGCCCACTTCCCTCCTGCTCTCTGGCCCAGTAAGTTTTCTCTCCCAGCTACAGTGCTGCACAGCTTCTCCAGGAGCACAACTCTGCCCTCCTTCCCCTCAGTTAACATGCAGCATGAGCTAGGAAACGAGACAGAGAAGATTGCCCCTCAGATTCAGAGGTAAATAGCACACCTTCCTTCATGTGCAATTACCCCAAGATCAGGGCAGAAAGCCAGGCTGCAGGAAACCCAGGCTCAAGTCTGTGTTCTACCTGGACAAATTTGGTCCCATTGTGGCCTCACTGCTTTTCCAAACAATAGTACTGGGGAGAATTTGTCTTCTGGTTTCAGAGAAGAGAGGAGAAAAGAAAATGCCAACCATTTATTCTATTTGCATTTTTTTGAGGGGAGGGAAGGCAGAGAATACGAGCATGTCTTTCACCTGGCATTTCAAGAGCACCCATCCAGATTAGGGATGTAAAGATTAAGGAAGTACCTTAGCACTGAGGACAGAGCTATAGCCTGCTGTCCCACCTCCTGTTAGGCAGCAGCTCAGTGAGGAGTGCCAAGGCTCTGCAGTTAGAGCTGAAGCAGAACGCATAAGCCCCTTGGTAAACCTCCTCCTCATCCTAGCAGACTCCCATGCCACTTCCCAGGCAGGAAGGCACCTTCCTGCCTTTCGGGAATTAAGGACTTAAGTCTTTGATGGAGTTGAGATGAAATTCTTGTTACCTCAGATATCACTACCACCGATTGCATTTTCAGGCACTTAATTCTGTTCAGGCCTCACACAGGGAGTCCAAGCTCCCTCTGCACCATCTGTTATGACTGCTACTAGCAGACAAGGTATCATAGTGGCCAAAGTCAAAGTCCAACTGTACCATGACATGTCTGAAAGATCTCCTCTGAAGCCCTTTTAAATTCATGAGGTCCTGAGCTGGTACACACCCAGGGGGTCAGACAAACCACATTCAATCCCTTCCTGTGTTTGAAGGAGGTCGAATGCTTTAATCACAGAGCTATAACGCAATAAGGGAAAGTATTTATCACTGTCTCTAGGGCAGAATCCTCTCACCACAATTCAACAAGAAACCAAACCACAAACCATTCACGCATCAGAAAAGGAGCGGGAAGAAAGAAAACCCCCACTGCTATAAGGAGGGGGGTAGGGCTAGCAGTTATGAAGAACAGACAAATTTATCTTCATCTAAGTTGATGTTTTCAGGTACAGAATTCAACTTCCAGCAAAATCTGCTGTCAGAATTACAGGCATGTTTAAAAGGAAAGTTTAGACATTTGCATTTCATGAGATATTCAAGTCACATTCAAAAGATGCTCATAGCACAGGCTTCACTACCACAATTTGGCACTTTCAGCTAGAACAGTTTCTTACTGCAGTGTTTCTCGGTGCTCACGTTACTGCAGTATCCATGAGCTGAAAGAACTGCTATTATATCTAGCTATGACGCTACGCTGGAATGCATATAAAGTGCTTCAGAAGCCGCTCTGCTTGCCGAGCATTTGTGAGGGAATTACAACAGCTCCCCTCAACAACAAAGATCAGCCTCCTACATTTCAGGAAGCGCAGTACAGAGACTTCCAAGGACTGAGGGTAGAGCATTTCTCTTCTGCTTACCAGCCACAGATATAGCAAAACTTCTTGTTCCAAAGTCAGGATAAAAACACTACCAGGAACAATTTATGAATACATATTTACACAAGATACTTTTCATTAGAATTACAGACTTCATAGGAAATCAAAGTAGACAAAGGAATATGTGCAATTTTGCAGAAGCGTTGAAAACATTCAAACTATAAATATCCTGATAGCACTACCAAAATTCTTAGTTTTACACACAGGCTGATGTTATTCTACTGAGGAAAAACTAAGGTTTTGTGCCACAACTGTAAATTAAGTACAGTAATGTATTATCATTCCGGCAACATCGGTAACACCTGCACTGAACAGTGCGATACTGTTAAATCAATCCACTGATCTATTGAAGATCAAAGTACAAATCTGTATTTTTATTGATTTGGCAGCGTTGCTTATGGAGAAACAAATGCACTAGTTAAACCAGTACATTGTCATACTGCTCCAGTTACAAAAACATCCAGGACTTTCATAGAGCTACAAACGTATCGTACTTCATGATTTTCCCCCAAATGATGATATCCATGTGAAGTAAATAAGCAAAGATACTCAAGTTTGTATCCTTCATTCTGTTACACTGACAAACATACACCACCACTTAATAAATAGAAATGCAGCAGTTCATCCACATAATAGCAAATATTTTTGTACCCTAATCCACCACTGAAGTTCAGTTTGTACAAAACAGTCTTTTCTACAGAGTGGAAAAAAATACCTTCTTCTCATCAAGGTGCAAGCTAAGCTTTGAAACTTAAATGAATGTGCTTTTATTCTTTTCATGGACAATAAAAGTGTTTCATGAACCTTCTGATCTATCTGAAAATGCATAAATTTGGTCACATCTGGATGTCTTCATTGTTCAGCTTTAATGGGCTATTTCAGTATCACGGACGTTGTGCTTTTACTTCTCTTGAACAATACCGTTCCAAGAGTTATGGAGATCAAATTAATTCAAATGATGACCTCAGAGTTCTAGAAACGTGTCCTCATTGTAAAACAAGACCAACCTAAAGGAAGAAGAAAACCAGAGTATTTTAGTTCAAGTACGGCAATAAATCTAAACAGCATCAGTTTTCCACACTTCAATTATGGATCTTAAATATGACGAATTAAAACAGTTACTTTAAACCCTCTGCCCATTTTGACCAGTTAGATTAATGTATCGTTATACCTAACAGAATTCAGCAGCTCTTTTTTTCTCCCTTACCTTTTCGGATTCCATGCCAGGACACCTCCAGTTGTACAAATAATACTGCAAATTTCCATCTCCAATCCCAAACTTCAGTTTTTCCAGGAATGTTTTGTTTTCCATTAAGTCTAGTGCATTGAACACATCAAATCCTTTCTGGCAATAGCAAAACATTTTTTAAATTTTACTTTTTACAGTTACAAATGATGCACAAATGATATTTTACACAGTGGCATACAATATCCAATAGACTAGGCTAAGTAAGTAGAAAAAAAAAAACGGGAATAATTCTCACCTTTTAATTAGGTACACACACAAAGAAATTTTTCCAATAAAAAGCAAAGTATAAGGTACAACTTTGTTTGAAGATTATCTCCAAAAGAGTAGGAATTTTAAAGTAATTTTCAGGGGTAACAGTCTGAGGAGTCCCTAAAGCATTATCCTTTATTTTATCCTTATTAGATGTGAATTTTTTACAGTCATATACAGTGTTTTGACACACATGGCCTATTCCAGCTAAAGCTGCATAAATACAGCTTACAATATTTTTCAGTCATTTATCATTCCATTAATGATAAACGTTGTATTTATGTGATTTGGTGCTTTTCTGAAACGTCATTGTCTTTAGAACTCCAACCTTTCATGTTACTCTCCCTTCTCTACCTCATGCACCCTCTACCTGCTTTTCTTTTCATCACCCTTCTAAATTCACCAAAGGTTTTTTGCTCTTGGAAAAGCCACATAGCCAAATTAGTCTCAGGGTTTTGTGCAGCAACACAAACATACTCAAATCCCAACTCACTATGAACTATTAACAGGCAACATAAAAACAAGGTCAGTTAAGCCATCACAGTGACAGTCACCACGTATGAACAGCTGAATTTGCTTCAGGGTCTGGGTATAAAAGTCCATTTATTTGTATTTAACTGCAAGAGAGTCTGACCTAAGATCCTGGGAGTCTTAACAGCACACATGCAGTTCATCAGTGAGACTTTCTATACCCTGAAATAAAAATAAGTTACAAAACAACAATGTTCAGTTCCTCAACCACAAAAAGATGGTAAGGAACATTCTTTACTCGTTATAAAAACTAGATGTGTGTTGTGTTTTTTTTTTTTCTTTTAAATAAGCACTCCATATTAGGAAAAAAGGGGACTAAAGAAAAAGAGGATTTTTAAGCTCTCCATCAGTTTAGGAGTATTTAAAAGAAAGTCACAAAGTATAGACAGTGAGCTTAGTAAGTTTCCCCACTACCTTGCACAATGTACCACAGTCTGTACTACCACTGGTGTTTGCCCTGCACTCCATGAAAACGTGATGATTAAGGGCTGAGCATTAACTTTTCATCAGGCAGCACTAAACCCTTACAATTCTTATGCTTAAAAACTTCACTTATAGTCTCTTCCCTTCTATTCAACTAAACCATCTATCAGTGTAATTCTGTGCATGAAGGTGTGCTTAAAAGCTACAACATGACATCTACAGAGCTTTACAGGCAGCAATTAGTAACAAGATGAAATGATAAATAAAATTATACATTATAAATAAAATATAGTTTAAATAAACAAACAATATGTATTTAATAAATGTATTAACTCATCTCTAAGGGAAACTATTTTAGTGATACTTTCCATTCTTTTGGTACTTAGTGAATACAGTCATCAGCATACTCTTGGATGTTTACACTGTTGAAGCTATTGGAAACACATGATCTTCATAGCACCACTCAAAATCAAGCACAGTGTTTTATATTATAAAATATATATGTTAAATGTCTCATTAACTGCACTCCATGCTGTAGACAGTAAAAGAAAACAGAACGCAAAGGTATGGATAAATTGCAGTCAGTTCTTACCTTTCCGCCACTCATAAGAATACCTTTGTGAAAGAAGCAGGAAAAAAAATCCAAAACAACTTACCAATTTAGCTATAATGAGTGCATCATTCATTAAGTCCAAGAGGGGGGTCTCTGTATGAATATTGTAAAACGAATAGGCAGCTTTCAAGCTTTTATGAACAGGATGGTGCATCACTGTTGAAGGTAACGTGTAGAAACTCAGGAAGTCTGTTAAAATACCATTTGAGCCCTACAAAAAAAAAAAAAAAGTAACTGCTCAGTTATTAATTAGGCTAACATGGCAGTTCTATAGGAAAAATAATAAATGCAGTGTTGCACACTGTAAGTATTATGATCTAACAGGTAATCCTGGCTAAGATTTGAAGAATCAGAATTCTTGCTGAGGATGTATCTATACATCAAAGTGAGACTGAAGCCTGAAGTGGTCACTTCAGAAAAGGAAACAAACATTTAGATTTTTCTAGTCTATTACACCAATAATATTTTGATACTGAACAACTGCCAAAGGTTTCAGTTTGCTTCCCAAGCTTAGCCTGCTACAAACAAAGCTAACAAAGCACACTTCCAAAAAAAGTATAGAATTTTTTTCCAATTTAACTTATTTTTAAAAGAATATTTTAAAAATCTGACAAAGTTCATATTGAGGAATAGTTTTCTCAGCTTTCTAAAAACAGAAAAATATTTACTGTGCTGGTATACAAAACATTAATAATCACTAGAGCTGATTTAAATATCAAAAAGCACAATCCATTTGTTAGACAAGAGCGCTAAATCCCATCAGAATTCTAGTAAGACCAGTAGTCACCAAAAAAGGTACTTATACAGAAATCTACAGTATCCTGCATAAACTTTCTTAATATTCCACACATCTAATGAAGTTTAACCATCTTTAAGTGTGCAGATTAATAGGAAATGGAAAATAATCATTACACAGGTTATGACTGACATGCATGCTAAGCACAAAAAAGCTACCCAGATTTTCACTCTTATTTGGTCTCCAGTGTCTTCAAGATGATATGGCGAAGGAGACACACAAATGTTTGTTTGCTTTATTTTTGAACGATTGATGCTCACTATTTTGAGACCGGTAAAGGACCTCACATGGATCCTTAAACTGATAGTTCTTCCACAATAAAAAGTAAGAGTTGAACCCATCACATGCAAAAAAAAGCTACTGTCTTAGAGCAGGTACAGATTCTGTAGTAGAGCTACACTAACAACAAATAACAGAAAAGTTAAGTCACTAACTTCAGTAAGGACAATGAAAATACTAATTCAGGAATCATATAGAGTATCTTAAGGTTTTAGTTCTGTACATTACAAAGACGACTTAAAAATATGACACTAACTTCTCCAGGTCACACAGGTCTTAAGCACACTCATGCTGATCCTGGTGCCTGTGGACTCTTCTGTGGGCTTCAACTTATCAACAAAGCCAAAAACCAACCCAGGGAGTAGGGGGGGAGAAAGAAGGAGGGACAGCAGGTTAAATTAAGACCATGGAAGAGTCCAATGAGCGCTAGACCCACTACAAAGTAAGTAGAAAGCTAAGCCTGAACAATGACAACTGATGAGCAGGACCTCTCATCTCCAGCAGCAGTAGGTTTCTAAATTCAGTTGAGACTCCTGCACAAATTCAGGTTGCACTGTGTGAACACTGAGCTTCACAACCTGCAGCTTCTGTAGGGAGCTGGTAGGTTTAAGGATGTTAGCGCTGATCATTTTCAAATAATTTTATCACTCTAAATGAAGCAATACACTAACTAAATATGATGTCTACAACTGATTTAGCATGTATTCAAAGGGAAGAGTGTACCTTTCTCCACTAGCTTTATCGCAGCTATTCCAAACCATGCCTTGGAGATTTCCAGTCCAAATGCTAATCTATTCCTGTACTGCTTATTTTGCAAGAAGCGTTGTGACCAACAGGTTAGAGAGTTGAGGTGGTAGGATGGGGAGGGAAGAGTAAGTGGTAGGAAGAGATGATGCTCTTCATCTTGTTATTGGACAAAGATTATAATTTTCAAGATAATTGAACTTGTAGCTGACAGCAACTTGTGACAGCATCAAGGGATGTTAACTTTTACTTCTTGTATTTTACATATACTCATGCATATACATGTATCTATATACAGACACACACACACACACACACACTCACTCTTCCACTGGCAAAAATATGTTACTGAAGCAGATTACCAACCCTAATTCCCCCAGCAGGTGCCCCTAAAATTGGTTTTAAAAATAAAGAATTTTGAATTGGTATATGGCAGAAACTTAGACACATAAGAGAATGATACTGAATTCAAACCAAATCCTTATCTGTCATTGTATCATTTTTCCTTTTTTTCTAGAAAAGGAGATTTGAAGACCACTGCTCAATATCATGTCATATCTCTATGGAAAAAAATGGAGGAATACAAGCAGAAGGGCTGTTTTTAAAATATGTAATGTTCTTTGCTGTAGCATTTCAAGATAGTGGTATTTTGAGATCTCAAAATTCTTCTTTAAAATATCCTGTTATAAGAGCACTGCAGTTTATCACAACCAAACATTTTCTCATTAACAGAATTCAATTCAAATAACAAAGCTTGAAATCATGATATCAAATTCTACCTATAGTTTTCATACTGTCTGCATTTCAAAAATTTTGATGCCGATACAAACTTTTGGAAGTGGCATTCACATATACATTCGTGAAGTAGTTTGCCCATGTTTTTACCTCTACTACGTAAGTGTCAATAATATGATCCCGGGGCAGGAACCAGTGGGCTACCTCTTCTTCATCCATCACAGGAGCAAGATTAAACTGTTTCAAGTAAGCGTTGATTAATTCTTGTACTGCTTTAGTATCTTTCTGTTCCATTGGTCTCAAACCCAAAGTCTTTGTGGCCTTATTGTAACAAAAGAAATATAAATGTTAAGATGTTGAAAGGAAAACTGCATACACAGCAAAGGCTGAAAGTAGGTTGCAGTCACTCCACTTGCTATAATGCATTCATTATTAGCTTATTTTACCCCAGCCACCTAATTCATTATGCTATTTTACAAAAGGCTTTCAATCAGAATTCCCTCTCTTCTAATTATTGAGATAGTCTGGGGCACTTCAATCTTTATATTTCATTATTGAAACAACTTCATTTCTCCAGAGAAAGAAATACCATTGCCAACAGCCTAGACTTCATGCATTTTGTATTTTTTTTTTTTTTAGGTCAATCTTTACTTCTTGTCTTCTAAACTACCTAGGGCCCAGACACAGAAACAAAACAAAGCAACCTGCATACCAGCAGTTAATCTGAAGACAAGAACACTTGTGATACAAAGTTATGAAAATTAAAGTCAAGCTATAAACCAAAGTCAGCTAATTTCTAATTAAACTTTATTTAATTAAAAAAAAAATCCACCCATTCTTAACACTTGCAAACTCCCCCGCTAACTCAACTTTCTATACAGGCACAACTCCTGTTCCATTAACAAGCAAGCTTCTCATAACTTACAGCTGCCCGAAATTAGAAACCTACAGTATTTTAACAAGTTATATATTTAATTTTAAACATTAGAAGAGGAAAAAATATGTGTTCCAGTACTACACAATTAATGTTTAAACAAGCAAAGGTGATTAAAGTTTTCTCCCCAGCTTTTGTTAGCTTTCCTGAGTATTTCCTTTTAGGGAGCCTAAGGGGTGTTCTCTTCAGAGCTCATTTATGCTGCCTCATCTGTCTGAGTTACATACTTGGGCACGTATCACATTAATCATAGCAAAGTCAATTGCAAGAGCAGCCAGGTAGAGGCTTGATTACTGGAAGCCTGAAATTAGTGTAGCTGATTATGCTTTGCTCAGAAGGCATTATTATGGGGGAGGTATTTATTCACATGCTCTGAGAGTCAGCAGACAGATGAAAAAAATCAAGGCACGTTTTGCCACAGGTCTGGCCTGCGTATTTACATTTTAGTCTTCCTGCTTTCCTGAGCAGCCTGGGACTATGGTGTGCCTCCAGAACAGCACATCATCTAGATTTATTTTAAATGCCCTGAATCCATTAGGGTATTCACCTGACTCATCAATATGACACTTCTTATGCCATATTTCATTCATAACCTCCTTTATGAAAGGTTAATTTCAGCTCACTCCAAGCCTTCATCCCTCTTCTAAAACCATAAGCTGGAGCAGGATGGGAGGAAATGCAGCTGGGCTGGAACATCTTTACTCCCCAGCAATGCTCAGAATGGCAAACAGTAAACAATTATTTGCAGCCCCAGAAGTGAGGGAAAGAGTACAGAACTGGGCTAAAATTTGTTACTCTGCTCCACATATCAAGCTGCATTGGGCATATATTCATACAAGTCTCCTGGCTCAGGATCTCAATCAGTCAGGAGGTCATACAGAGACAAACATGCTCCTGTCCTTATTCTAAACACAACCAAAATTCACCTCTTCCAGAAAACTCCTTGCTCAAGAGACTAAACACTTAGAAAATAAATTTTATTTTTTATATCTGTAGGTGCCTGCACAAACACAGCCTTCAGTGAGGGTGGTATTTAATAATTACAGTATTTATTATTTCTGAAAACCTTTTTAATTCAGACTGTTAAAGTGATTAGAAATTATTAATTCCTCTTAAAGGGAGATAAGCTCTCAGTGGCAATGATATTCCAAGGACACTACGAAAAGAGGTTAAAATGCAAGAAACAGTGTTTGGTGCTGAGGTACAGGACAGTGTGCCCTGTATGAACAAATCTGTGTGACAGTACTGATTATGATAACAGCCTGAAACTGAGGATAAAGACCCTCAATAGTACTTAAACCCTTTCTTAGGGAAAAAAACCTCCAAAAAACCCCAAAGCACTAGACCTAAAGAGAAAACAGCACAAAGATAAGATCTTTGTATTCCATGGGAAAAGCTCCCAATCCAATCTAAAAATAAACCAACAGTTGAGGCGTATGGACTCCTACATCACTTAGATTTAAAAGTTGATTTTCAAAGCACCTATTTTCTATTTGCACATCTTTGTAGAGTATTTTTGCCTTAGATATATTTTATGAATGAGATATGATGTATTCTTTGTTTTCCATAATTTATTTTTCTGTTGAAATCCAGGTTTTATGGTAAGGGAAGATGATCAGGGTACAACTGCTACTGTTTCTAATTGTCCTCTGTAGTTACACTTTTTGTACTGTAAGTAAGATCCTTATTCTTTAAACTATTCTCTTCCTGTATTGTTTCCATGAGAAACTGTTATTAGAGCTGCCTCCACAACCTATATTTGAAATTGTCTATTGCACTTTTTTAGGCTATTAATGCCTTCAAGATTTGGTGGAAGCTATATTTAGCTCCCCAAGATTAAATCCTAATTAATGTGGTTATTAATTCTTAAGCTCTGAAAACTGCTGCCCTGCACGCAAGGGAGAGCCTGCATGTGCAGGCAGAGGTAGCATGCAGGCAGCACAGGAAACAAATCTGACAGCAGCAGGAGTTCAGATCAAGCCATGGCATGTGCTTTATACCAAGGAGTGCTTACTGTAATACTCAAATATTTAAGTAGTAAGAGAACCTGCAGCATCAAGCTAAATATAACCAACAGACACAAGTCTCCAAAATCAGATAAATTATTAAAAGTACTACAAGTGAGAAAAAAAACCAAACCTTTTCCTAACCGAAAGGGAGTGTTTAAATAAAAACAATTTACTGATATGGTGCAGGTAAAGGATATTCTGCAATCCCTCCAAATAGAAAGGTAGCTTTTAAAACAAAGAAACTGTGTTCGTTCATAAAGCTTAGACTAGCTTCTGTAGGCTATTAATTACAGCAATGAGATTTTTTCATAGTATGTTTCAGACTACTTAGAGTGACTTGCCCTGTCATGGAAATGGCCTCCTAAGACTTTTTGCAGCCTAACCATTAGCTGCAAACATGAGAAAAATATTTTTAACTAACTTAGCTATGCCAGAATACTTTTTTTTTTTTTTTGCTACACCATGCAAATAAACAGTATACAACATACTGGCTTTTGCTGAGCCTGCTCATTGCAGAAGAACAACATTCTCTGACAGAACAGAAAAAGCTGTGAATTAGAGTGGAATCAACAATCGCGCTGTATTCAGCCAACTTTCTGATGGACTTCTCTGAAAATTTTAAGACATAAACTGTTAATTTTCTGTTCCAGTAATCTTTTATCATATTAATCATACTGAGAAGTCTTTGGTATTTTCAACTCAATCCTACATGTTTATGAAGCCAAGGTTTCTGGGTTTTTTTCTTTGTCTGTTTAAGGCTTTTAGGTCAAAATTTATATTTTCTCCATATACATATCTACATTTCCAGCGATAGCCTCTTCTGTTTAGTATATCCCTTAAAGTCTTTTTCATTAACCAGAGATTTTTTTTTTTTTTTTGTCCTGCATGCACTGCCTTTCCACAGAAAAGCCTGTGCTGTCAGAGACAGATGGAAGGTTATTTTGGGCCTCACAATAACTGTGGGGATTCTCTAGAAGTCATACTGCTTACATCAGGAAGTCTGTAGAGCTTCATTGTTCTTTGTAGAGTCATGTTTCTACTCAAATGTGAAAATTTCACCTCCACCAATTTTCTGGGATTCAGTGATCGATGCCAATACCTGCAAATAAAATTAATAATAAGATCAAATAGTATTTTTAATGTCAGCTTTACTTGCATCCATTTTCCTACTTTCTCTCATTGCTCTTCTTCCTCTCCAAATCTGTTTTTAAGCAAGACTGTACTGTCTGTAAGAAGCTTGAGCAACAAAAGATAAGAAGCTACATCCAACCGTATTTTTGAATCTAAGCAAATGCTTTTTATTACAGAGTTAAACATTTTAGTACTTGCCATAGCCCTGACAATCTCACCATACTTACATGGCAACATTTATTTTCTTGTACAGATGGGACCCTCTGCTCATGTCTAAGTGGTTGTTGAAGGAGATCTCTTCCTAGGACATCATTGTGCAAAAGAACATCCCTGGTTACTCTAACACAGCATGGCTTTTTTTTTTTTTTTCTTTTCATTTTTTTTTCCCCCCATCCTTCCTTACAGAGACTTACAGGATCTTTGGTGTTGATAGATACAATTTCAAATCAAAAAGTACCCTGTCCTCCAGAAGGCTAGACAGCTGAACTACTACTACTGGAACTGAACTGTTCCCAGTAGAAATAAATTACATTCCAAGCAAACAAAATTGTATTTGATTACATATAATTCTTCTCACATGATAGTTTTCCTGTCTTTATCAAATTTCGATCAAGTCCTTTCTTCAGGAAAGATGAAAGTATTTCAAAAAGCAAATCATACAATTCCCAGAAGTGCTCTGCCATCTTTGGCAACCAACCAGGTCAACAAAGAAGTGCCCCAGCAGGGAAACAGGCCACTTGAAAAACACAGGTATACAATGTTGTCATTGCTAGCATGGCCTCCACCAGAAGGTCAACAGAAATATCTATTAGTCTATTTAAGGTATGATAAACAAACACAAAATTAGATTTTAGTCTGAGAAGCTGTTTCATCCAAGGCACTGGAAGGAAAAAAAAACCAAACAAAAAAAACACAACCAACAAACAAACCAACCAAAAAAGCACCCTGACAAACACTGAGGCCTTCAGGTTAGTCAAGACCACAACATTTATTTTCACTGACTTTATGCTTTTATTGTTTCTAGCCAAATACATAAAGTGTTCTGTAAAATGACTGCTACAGGAACTGATATTATTATGAACATCACCTAGGTTACCTGCAAGTGGCCACAGGTTTGGGAAGTACCACTCCAGCAGTGTAAACAGCCTGAAAAATTCCTTCCAGGTTTACTCTTCTGGTTATTTCCCGAATCAGTACAGGTGCTACCCGTTTAGATCTCAGTTTCTTATGGACACACAGAAAATTGATTTCTACCATCTTCTTCACACTAAAAGGGCATTAAATAGTGGAAATTGTTATAAAGAGGTGCACATCACATATTTTAATTTTTGCAAATGTAGCTTCCCATATTGTGACAGAAAAATCTGAGGTAACAATAAACTGGCCTGTGATAAAGTACATCTGCAAGAAACACTCATCTGTGATATTGTGACTGCAATGGCAAACTGCACAATATGCAAGTTGTGTCTAAGGTGTTTGCAACACTGTTTTCAGAGCTCTATTGAGACTTAACCAATTGCATTTAAAATGCAGAATGACATCCAAGCACATGCTACGTGGTATAATAATACTTTGTGACTGTCAGTCTATGAAGACCTGGCCAATGAAGTCCAACTGACTATACTTTAAACACCTTCCAGTAGGGTCAGAAAATTCTATGTTGTTATCTGTATCATCCATCAGTAAGAAAATTCCTTAAATATGTATTACTGGTCCTTACTGTAAGGAAACCACAAGCTTTTTGGGGCGGGGGGGGAAGAGTGAAAAAAAAAAAAAAAAAAAAGCCTCTGCTACATACACAGATTTCTTCTGACTCTTTATGGTCAGTGACCCTCTTGCTCTAAGTTGTCTATGGCAGTGGATACCAGTTTAAGATTTGTTTCATCATGTTATTCTTTTAAAATACAGAAGTAATGGTGCATTTTACCTGTCATAAATACGAATATTTGCAGGGATGGCACTTATGAATCCTACCAGTTTTTTGTTTGAAGACACTCTAACCCCACAGTGCCACTGGGGTAACCAGCCTGGAGGACGTAGCGCCCTAGAATTGATGACAGAAATAATTACAAATTACTGCCTAAGAAGATGTAATAAAAACACCCTTATTTGCACTCCAGCCAGAGCAGAATGTGGAACTTGCTACTCACCACAGAAGAAATTCAGGTGAATAATCAAACCTAAACATATTATCATCATCTTCTACATAATTCTCATTTAACAGCGTGTATAACTCCTTCAGCTGAAAACACACACAAAAAAGTCCAAATATTTATCCACACACATCAATCAGAATAAGCTTCAATGATTTTAGATACATATAAGAATTGTTTTACTTACAACTTCAGCATTGCTAAGATCCAATGTGTCCCACATAAAACCTTGTGGCAATGAATATGGCTCTAGGCGGACATTGTCCTTATCTGGTTCAATTGCACCATGTGAAGTTATAACTTCATCTTTTGAGGGAGGAGAAAGGAAAAAATAAAAAGATCAACAACAAAAGAAAGAATAGTTACATTGCTAGCTTTCCTGATAGTTCTCAAAAAATTGTGCATTTCAGTCACATCATGTATTTTCTCATAATTACGTGATAGGAACATGATGTTTTAAAAAATGCTGAAAAAGGTTAGTATTATTACCTTATACTATTTTTCATTCTCACAGATCAGATTCAGGCTAATGACTAGCTCATCAGAGTATCGATAACTATGCACAGAACTACTCTACTTCAACTGATACCCAGTATTTCATAACACAGGACAGCAATTTATCAGCACATGCACAGCATTTAGCCAGCCACAAGATCCACAGTCTCATCATGAGAAACATGTTGTACTCACAACTAACAAGCTATGGCTTGGATCCTGTTTACACTGACTTGAACAGACCTGAACTCAACAGGATTACTTAGAAGCAGTGACATGGCAAAGCCAGGGCATTTAAGGGATGCTAGTGAAATGTAAAACTTGTTTCTAAAATCCTACATGAAAGTGTGCTTTCTTCTCCCTTATTTACAACTCCAGTCCCTCAGTATATAGCTATAAACAGAAGCTGTTACTCTTCTATGGAGGAGCAGCACCTGCCAAATCAAAGAATCACAGAATCATTTAGGTTGGGAAAGACCTGTAAGACCATCGAGTCTAACTGTTAACCTAGCACTGACAAGTCCACCACTAAACCACATCTTTAAGTGCCATATCTACACGTCTTTTAAATACTTCCAGGGATGGTGACTCAACCACTTCCATGGGCAGCCTGTTCTGAAATGCTTGACAACCCTTTCAGTGAAGAAATTTTCCTAATATCCAAAGTAAACCTCCCCTGCCACAACTTGAGGCCATTTCCTCTCATCCTACCGCTTATTACTTGGGAGGAGAAATCAACATCCACCTTTCGGGTAGTTGTAAGGTCTCTCCTGAGTCTCCTTTTCTCCAGGCTAAACCACCCCAGTTCCCTCAGCCACTTCTCACAGGACTTGTGCTCCAGACCCTTCACCAGCTTTGTCACTCTTCTCTGCACAAGCTGCAGCACCTCAATGTCTTTCTTGTAGTGAGGGGCCCAAAACTGAACACAGTAATCGAGGTGCAGCCTCACCAGTGCCAAGTACAGGGAGATGAATACTTCCCTAGTCCTGCTGGCCACGCTATTTCTGACACAAGCCAGGATGCCACTGGCCTTCCTGGCCACACTGCTGGCTCATATTCATCTGGCTGTCAACCAATACCCGCAGGTCCTTTTTCACTGGGCAGTTTTCCAGATGCTCCTCTTCAAGCCTGCAGCGTTGCATGGGGTTGTTGTGACCCAAGTGCGGGATCCAGCACTCAGCCTTGTTGTACTTCACACAGTTGGCCTGTGCCAATCGATCCAACCGGTCCAGATCTCTCTGTAGAGCCTTTTTGCCCTCAAACAGATCAACACACCCACCCAACTTGGTTTTGTCTGCAAACCTACTGAGGGTGCACTCCATCCCCTCATCCACAACACTGATAGATATTGAACAGAACTGGCCCCAATACTGAGCCCTGAGGAACACCATTTGTGGCTGGCCACCAACTGGATTTAACTCCATTCACCACCACTCTTTGGTCCTGGTCATCCAGAGAGTATTTTACCCAGTAAAGAGTACATCCATACAATCCATGAGAAGCCAATTTCTCCAGGAGAATGCTGTGGGACACAGTGTCAAAGGCCTTACTGAAGTCTAGGTAGACAACATCCACAGCCTTTCCCTCATCCACTAAACAGGTCACCCTGTCACAGAAGATCAGGTTAGTCCAGCAGGACCTGTCTTTCATAAACCCAGGCTGACTGGGCCTGATCCCCTGATTGTCCTGTACATGCTGTGTGACAGCACTCAAGATGATCTTCTCCATAACCTTCCCTGGCACCAAGGTCAGACTGACAGGCCTGTAGTTCCCCAGATCCTCCTTCTGGCCCTTCTTGTAGATGGACGTCACATTTGCTAATCTTCAGTTAACTGGGACCTCCCCGGTTAGCCAGGATTGCTGATAAATAATTGAAAGTGGCTTGGTGAGCACTTCTGCCAGCTCCCTCAGTACCCTGGGGTGGATCCTATCCAGCCCCATAGTCTTGTGTGTGTCTAAGTGGTGCAGCAGGTCACTAACCATTTACCCTTGGATTATGGTGGCTTCATTCTGCTCCCCATCCCTGTCTTCCAGCTCAGGGGGCTGGGTACCCCAAGAACAACTGGTCTTACTATTAAAGACTGAGGCAAAGAAGGCACTAAGTACCTCAGCTTTTTCCTCATCCTTTGTCACTATGTTTCTACCTGCATCCAATAAAGGACGGAGATTCTCCTTAGCCTTTCTTTTATTGCTACTGTATTTATAAAAACATTTTTATTGTCATTTAAAGCAGTAGCCATATTAAGCTCTAGATTGGACTTTGGCCCTTCTAATTTTCTCCTGCACAACCTCACAACATCCCTGTAGTCCGCTGAGTTGCATGCCCCTTCTTCCAAAGGGCATAAACTCTCCTTTTTTGACTTCAAGTTCCAGCCAAAACTCTCTGTTCAGCCAGGCCAGTCTTCTTTCTTGACAATTCATCTTTTGGCACATGGGGACAGGCTGCTCCTAAGCCTTTAAGATTTTCTTCTTGAAGAATGTCCAGCCCTCCTGGACTCCTTTGCCCTTCAGGACTGCCTCCCAAGGGACTTTGTCAACCAGGTCCCTAAACAGGCCAAAGGCTGCCCTCCAGGAGTCCAAGGTAGTGGTTCTGCTAACTCCCTCCTTACTTCTCCAAGAATTGAAAAGTCTATCATTTTGTGACTGCTATGTCCAAGGTGGCCTCCAGCCATCACATCACCTACAAATCCTTCTCTGTTCTCAGACAACAGGTCCAATGGGGCACCTTCCCTAGTTGGCTCACTCACCAGCTGTGTCAGGAAGTTATCTTCCACACACTCCAGGAACCTCCTAAACTGTTTCCTCTCCACTGTATTATATTTCCAGCAGACATCAGGTAAGTTTAAGTCCCCCATGAGAACAAGGGCAAGTGATTATGAGACTTGTCTCAGCTGCTTACAGAATATTTTGTCTGCCCTATCATCTTGGCTGGTTGGTCTATAACAGCCTCCCATTATGATATCTGCCTTGTTGGCCTTCCCCCTGTTTCATACTGTCCTGGTTTTGGCTAGGATAGAGCTATTTTTTTCTTCTAAGAAGCGAGAATAGTGCTTTGTTCTAGATTCAGTATGTGATATGGTATGAGAAAAATGTTGATAATATACTGATGTTAATACACTGTAAACTATGACACTTACCCATAAACACTCAATCCTACCATCACCATCAAGCTCTAGACAGTCCAATGTTCCTTTGTAGTATGAACTTTTCCCAAATGATGTGCAATCCTGACAAATAGTTATGGCCTACTCTCCAGTTTGGAATGTCATCACTACCAGCATCTTTTCACAAACTCTGGAAAGTATCAACAGCCTACACATTACTGCCACTACATGGCAGACTTGGCCTAACTAAAGGACCTACTGCTAACAACCTTAGCCAGAAGACAGAAGAATTGTGAAGTTAATTTAACGCAAATATCGCTACAGCTATTTCTTGAATCAACAGATTATTTTTTTCCACTTAAACATATCCAGCATATCAAATATTGAAGACTTCCCAATATGTTCACTCAGCAGATAAAGCTTAAAAAAAGAAAATAAATCAACAGGATCAAAAAGAAATTCATAAACAGTGTGGAAAAGAAACTCTTCCAGATGAATTCAACAAAGCATATTTCTACTAAATAACACTAACAATTCATTTTTAGAGCCAATGCATTGGTCCTTTTAGGCTGGCAAGTGACAGATTCTCATCCCTATAGAAGTGCTGTAAGACATATTGACTAACCTGAACTGAAGTCCTGGAACTGCTGTGCAGACACCTGAACTAGCTCTGAAAAAGGTTTATTATGGCCAAAGTATTTTTTGATTGACACATCAACTTATTTCAGCTAGGCTCTTCCTCCACGTAGGCAGGATTACTGTGACAATTACTACCACTAGTTTACAGAGGTATCTGGATACAATCTGTATGGAGAAGAGCCAGGGCAGGCCAGTTCAATCCAGTGGAAAATAACTACATGCAGGGACTCTGCTCTGGACTTCCCTATGCAAAGAAGTCAGGTAGAAATGAGATCACCGTGGATTAAGCTATAGAAATGGATTAATGTGAAATGCTGCCCTGTGGAGAGAGAGCACGCAAAGTGCTTCTGTGCTTTAGACTCTACCTTATTTCTGCTTATTCTACAACAGCATCCAACGCCATGGAGAGAAACCTGCAGAACAGAACAATGACGGCTATTGCCCTGAGACTACTTTACTTGTGGGGTCCTCAAGTTTCATTGGCACTGAAGAGCTACTACTGCTTAACTTGGGGGAAGAAGGTTCAGAAAGCAATTCAGAAAAAGCAAGAGTCATCAAGTATCTTCTCCAACAAAGACTAAGATTTACCAACTGTGTTATCAGGGATCAGATCAGTATAAAAAGTAATCTACCAAATTCCTTACAGAATTAAAGGCAAGGAGACGTCACCTCATATTCTTACTTGGTATCAAGAACAGAGAACAGACTCTGAAAAGCATGTTTTCAAGGCAGCGTACATTGTGGAGGAAGCATGTGAACATACAGCAGTAAAAGTCTTCATGCATGACAGAAGCACCATTATCCACTTAAAGATGCATGAAAACAGTGTAACCTCCAGCAAGAGAGGCATTATCTCTATATTAAAAAAAAAGGGAAAAGGAATTAAAAAAAAAATAAAAAAAAAAAAAAAAAAAATAAAAAATCAAAGTTTACTCTCTGTTACCACTTAAAGAGTTCTTATTTTCCCTGAAGTGGAAAAGACTTCTACTTTCTGTTGTTCAAGAGTTCAGACCTAAAATATACAAAAGAATGCTATTTCAATAGCATGTCCCATTTTTATAGAAAATGTTAATAAGATTTATTAACACTGTATTTTGTTGCAGATCGCTCGGGAGAAGGGCAAGAACTTTCCTAAAGAACACCAAGAATTCCAGATAAACTAAAGATGAAGAATCTCTACTGCACACAGACCAACTTCATACCCATTCTAGAGAACATGCCACACAGCTGGCACACATTTGTTTAGCGGTCAGTAAGACAGATCTTATGCCCAGATCCAGTTAAACTTACTAAGTTTAGGTACAGGTTGTGTATCCCAAAACTGGTATTTACGTTTGGTAGCCTCATCAATATTCTTTGCTGGGCCTTGGCATGCAGAGAGCAGCTCCATTGCTCTCTGGATGTCTTGAAGCTTCTGCATTGGAATGGCTGGATTCTGCACACAGAGACAAAAGGAAGAGGAAGCTTATTGAGTATGTTTACTTTGAACAATTGTTCAAACGTACTGATTTATTTTACTGTTAGCTATTCTTTCATGTACTCTTCTCATCATGCTTAGTACAACCTTTGGAGGCAGGAGGGTGGAAAGTCAGGTGGGCAACAGAGGAGCAACTTAACAAAATACTTAATAGTTTTGAGTAGCACTTGCATTTAACCACGAAACTTCAGCATTTTTAACACAAATACTGCAGCATTAAGGCAGGATACCAGTATCACAGTAAAATGGTTCTTATATACCCTGCCCCACCCCTCACTTGGTAAAATACAGTAAAACAGCAAAAATCAATCAGCTTAGATATCTAATAATCTAAAGATACCACTGGTACACACAGAGATTTTTGAAGTTCTACTTCACATATATAATATAAAGTAATATTTAAATTCACTATGGTCCAGTATTTCAGGTATGTTATATTGCTACAAATACCCGTTTTTTAACCTTAGTTGTATTGTATCTGTCTTCTATTAGCTTGCAATTATTGCATCAGGTACTTTCTGCATAGTGTAGGAGCTAACCATCTTGCCATTAACATCAACTGTGCCAACACTCACAACTAAAGAGAATTTTAACTGATAGAAGCAGATAGACATAAAATAAATCAACCTTCAACTTAAAAGATGAAAAATCTTTATAGAAAATTATTTGAAAAGCATGAAACCTAAGGCTAAGCATTTCTAAACTGAGCTCTTAAACTGTCACTTTTGATCACTCTGAGTGTAACTTGAATGAGAATTTCACCTGCATAGGATAGATGAATAATGGTAACAGACTTCTAAATCTAAAGGGATTTTTCTCTCACTTTTTAAAGTCTATTTATTTGTTTTGCTTTGTTATCTCCCAAGTGGTAAGTCCTGTTCTGAGACATACTAACAGCATGCTTGTACTCAGGTTTTCCCAGACTGCAGTGCAATAAATACATTTGAAGGAACAGTCTCAAATGCACTGGAAAATTTTAAGCAATTCTGCATTGATTTCAAGCCAGATTTTTTTTTTTTACTGAATATCAGTGGACCACTACTTCTGTATTTCACTTTCTTTCCAGGATTCATGCATTAAAAAACCACCATAAATTACATGTAATTGTGATGTAAAGCTTCATTTGGACAGGCATCTGCCTCTTGTATCCTCAGTCAGAAAAGGAGCAGATGTCCCTCCCTGTAGCTCAAGCAGGCCATAATTTTCTATTTATAATAAAAACCTGTACTCTCTAATCATTATGCAATTTCTTTCATTAATTTAAGTATTGCAAAATTTTACCTGTGAGCACGCTTTAAACACCTGTCATCTGACTAGTTATGAATTAACATATTTAGACATTTTAGAGCAACACTATTGAAACATAAAAAACCAACCCTATTTCTAGATCCAGATTACAGTGACATAAGTTACTTTTCTCAAATAAAAATCAATTTGTCTAAAAATCAATTTGTCTATTACACACCATGGCCTGATACAAATACTTCTAATGCCACTAGATAAATTCTGGAATCTTATCAGTACATTATGAAATCATACATAAACACTGGCAGACTGTAATTTATTTTGTACATTTATTTTGAGTCTCATGTTTTTTTCTACATTAGGAAGAAAACAGAAAATCAGAATAAAAGATACTAGGTTCTAAAATGATCTTACTACCACATATGAAGTAAAAAGTTCATGTTCTGGTACTAAATACAACATAGCTAGGGACATCAGGAGGAATCTCCCTTCCTTTCAAAATATTCAGAGATCAGTCCTTTAATGGAAAGCAAGAAAAAGCTACACAGAACTTCACATGAATTAGAAACAATAGTGACTTTGTTTAATTTCAGTTTAGGAGAAGTATCTCCTCACAGCACAAAATGGCACTGTAATGCAACAGGGCTAAGGTATACAATGCTCTTTCTGCCTCAGTTTCGGTGACAAGATCTAACCTCAGACCTTTGATGTGCCTGAGCCTTGTAGCACAGTCTGTGAGACTCCCATTAACCATGGCAGGGGGAAAGTTAGGGACCACTTAGGAAACTAATCATGCGCAGGTCCCTAAGAACAGACCGCATGCAACCGAGGGTACTGAGGGAGCTGCATGATGTTACTGCAACTAGAATATATTTTTAAAAGGTTATAGCAATTGGTGGAGGTTTCTTACAACTGGAAAAAGGCAGATATCACACCCATCTTCAAGAAGGCAAGGGGGAGGATTTTGAGAACTCAGCGGTCAATACTGTTTAACAATCTGGATGTGACAAAGAGTGCTTTCTCTGCAAGTTCATAGATGATAACCTAGTTGGGAAGAAGGGTCAATACACTGGACTGCAGAGCTGCTGTTCAAAGCTACTCTGACAGGCTGGAAACAGAAACTTCATGAAGTCTGGCAAAGGCAAACACAAAGTCCTGCATCTGGGACAGAAAAAGCACATGCAATGGCAGAGGACAGCATGGACTGGCTAGGAAGCAGCTTTGTGGAAAAGAACTGGGAAAGCCTGGTGGACGTGAGCCAGCAGTTTGCTGGCCAGCAAAGACAGACAGCTGTATGCTAGGTTGTACCAGTAAGACTGGCTAGCAAGTCTTCCCCTTTATCTGGCACCCCTGAGATGATGTCTCACAGTTTTGGGTTCCCCATTACAAAGAAAACATTGACATAATGGAGTGAGTTCAATGAAGGGCCACCAAGACGAGTGGGGGTCTGAAGCACATGACATACAAGGAAGAGATGAGACCTTTCTTTGTTCAGCCTTAAGAAGAGAAGGTTAAGGGAATAGGAGAAATCTTACTGCTGCCTAATGAGAGGATGTAAAGAAAACTGAGCCAATTCTTTTCAGAGGAGCATAATGATAGGACAAGAAACAACGGACACAACTCGCAAACTAGCAAAATCCATTTAGATATAAGGGATTACTATTTTTTAATCTTTAAGTGTAGTCAAACACTGGAATAGGTTGCCCACAGAGGTTGGGCAGTCTCCATCCTTGGAGACCAAACAACGTGATTTAAGCCTAAGCAACCTCATCTAGTTGGATCTACTCTAAGCAGGAGGTTGGTCAAAAGGCCTCTAGAGGTCCCTTCCAATCTAAATTATTCCGTGATCATGTTGTGTAGGCCATTGATGACTACAATAATGACTGTTAATACTGCAGATCTGGGAAGCTTCATTTGTGTCAGTGTGGATGGCCTACATCACTGGGACTTATAATGGGGAGAGATCAAAGTCTTGTGAGATGGGCACTGAAGTGTCCTAAAGGTCAGCATAAGCATACAATGTTAACAAGCATTTATTGTTGTGGTTACACTCATGCCAGTGTTTAAAAAGTTCAATATCACCAATAAGAGAAGGAGGAGACAAGGAGACTGACTGTTCTGTTTGTCTCATCTCCAGACTGGTACACCTATTTACAAACTGACCTGACCTCAAAATTCTTTTTCAAAATCACTTTCGAGTACAGAAGCCCCACTGAGTATAACCTAATGATCCTGCATGCATTCTCTTAGAGGTAAGGCGTACAATGCCACTTTCCTCTGAAATATTTTGTAAACCTCTTTTCAACCAAGAGCAAGCAAATGCTAAAAGCCTTTCTTCTGCAATATATTTCACATAGCACAAGGAATACAAAATCTAAATATCACTTGAGTAGCAGAAAAAATAAATATACTTCTCTACACTGATCCAGATCAGCAGTCTAAGATACTTTCAAAAAATCTAAAATGGGAAAGTTGTCCAAGATGGAGAAGCTTGTCTACTTAGCAGTGTGTACACCTGAAACACAGCGGAGAAGACGAAAAAAACCAGCCAACGCTGATGTATCTGCATCTAGAGAAAAGTGGAAGCCAAATAAGAATAATAAAATGGTCTAGCTGCCTAGAGCTTGAGACAAAAATAAGAGCCTTTCTTTTATGCCAATAAAAGATAAAATTCTGTAACGTTGCTAACAAACTCACTAAACTTCTTGTGACAGTAAAATAAAGAGTGCCACTCTAAGTATACAGCTTAAAACAAGGATAGCCTCCCATGTTTGCAAAGTGCATCATGCCAGAGAAATGGTGTGCAACACTGCAAGGTGCTGGGGACTAAAATCTTGCACATGAAAACAAAATAAAAAAGGGAAGTAGCTTCTTTTTAACACAATTAGAAGTAGCATATGGAACAGTAAGTTTGGTCAGCAGGGAAAAAAGGAACTCCCAGGACACTGCAGCAATGAATTATGTCTTCATGTTAACATCAAGATTGACCTCGGTCCAATTGTAAAAGAGTTTGAGGTTACTTGGTTATCACTTGCAAACAGTCATCTTGCATTAGCAATTCATGCCATGTGCTTTATAGAAACACTGTATCAAAACACATTGCAAGATCAGAAAGAACGTAACATCCCTGTACATATTTTAAGATGTTCCCTGTGCCCCATGTGCCCATTCAAAGCAATGAGGGTGACACAAAGACCACCTAAAGGGACAACACAAAAATCTATCAGTATGTTAATGAGCCAAAACACAACTTTTTTCCCGTAAAATTAGTTGGTAGCCACAATGTACACGACAAATCTTACAGGATGAACAGTACTACTGGTACAACAGTGTAACTTTCTCCACATTAATCTGATAAATCAAATATAACTATTTCAACACTCAATGGTCCATAAACTTTCTTGTCATCATGTTACAAACTTCAGTTCTCAGGCTCAGATCTCCCCTGAGATAAAAACCATATGTTAAAAGGCCACCATGTCATATTACTCACCATTCATTCAGAACATGGTAGTCAAAAGCACACAGACAATGCTTTATCACAAAGCCCACAAAGATTGTACATCCCCTCACATAACTGTGCATTCTTAATTTACAGTGGAGGGCTCTCAGGTGATGAAACGTTTCTTCAGTCTGGATCTCGTGTTAGAGATTACCGCATTTTATGTAAGATGACATGGTGCTTGTTTGCCCAAATAAGACTGGTTAGCACAGGAGGTACACCTTCCCTCCTACTGCTGATGCTCGCCATGAGATAGCATTTGGCTGTACAAGTAACTGAAACTGCACTAAGCCAAGTTAGATGGTGGCTAAAGGCAATTCATCAAACACAAAATCTATTTAAAAACATTACCACTGCAGATTAAGATTCCTTGTGACAAAGCTGTCACTAGCCTGAGTTCTAACTGCTGGAAAAGACAAAACACCTCCTCCTCTGCTTTTCTTAGAGTACACCACCACTGTGGCAATGATGACAACTCTCCAGCTAACTTCACAAAGTCTGCAAACACCAGGTCTTACCTTGCTTCTGTCTCTATTCAGGACAGTAACCATTTGCTTAATTCCGACATGTTAAGGCAGAACCACCAAGTTGCTTTTACAAAAAGCAACGCACAAATTAAAATTAAATTATAAAGCAAGCACAAATTAAAACAGAACCAGGCTCTCACTTTTGAAGGCTGTTGAATTTTAATCTCCTGGGAGTCAGATGCAGAATCTGATTTGGTGCCTCCAGAATTTGGTTTCTCCTTTTTTCTCTTCTGCTTCTTTTTCTTCTTCTTCGCTCCCAAATCCCCTCCAGGACTTCTGCCAGAGATTCAGAGAATGTGCAATGAGAAAAAAAAATCAATACCACCAAGCTTAAAATTCAAAAAAAAAGTTAAATATGGAAAAATCAGCATTTTAATATGCAAAATCTAACAGCAGTTATAATGTGAAGGCAGGGAAAAGGAAGGAAGAGGGAAAATGAGAGCATTGATGAAAAACTCCCTGCAAGTGCTTTCTAATTTGTTTTATACTCAGACCCTTTCACAAGCAGACGTTTTGACACACTGGTATCAGATTGTGGCGCTCTAGAACAGTCAGTGCTCTTCTCCAGGCTATTACCCAGCACAAACATGAAACAACCAAATTCAAGAGAGTTTGAAGGAACTTGGGAAAGTGCAGGAACTGAGGAAGGTAACCTCTTTGGAAATTCTACAACTATTAGTGGCCCAGTATCTTTTCCCCTTCATGCTCAACCATCAGGCACATCGGAATTTGAGAAGAATCCAAACAAAAATTTTGTTTCTAATTTATGTAGTGATGAAAGTTTTGCTGAAATATCAGTAAGAAACAACACAAAACTAAACAAATATTTGTGCTTTAAAACAGTAAGTACAACAGGGTCAACTAATTAACCCCCCCCCCAACAAAGTATATATTGCACTTGCAGATTCTGACATATTTTGACTATTGATAATACAACTCCCTTTCTTCTTTAAGGGGATTCTAATTTGACAAATAATCAAGATATAGAATCAAGATTAGATTAGAATTTGCAAATGTGGGAAGTGTTGGCAACTCTCAGACAGAAGGCAAATAAGCAGGCAGTGAGTCAGTTAACACTGAATCCTATTCACGAGGTTAATTTCCCAGCAAAATCATATGTACATAATGGAGCTCAAGACAGATATTGGGGTTTGAGGGGTTTGGGTGTTTCTCACTGGAAAATAAAAAAGTCAACGCAACAAACAATTATTTATTTTAATTCTGGAGGGGAGAAAAAACAGATATGATACCGGCAAACCAAAAGAAGAACTCAGAGCAACGTAACTAAAGTTATTAAAATCAACGTGTCTGCAAGGGGCATGTTATTCACTGTATCATGCTCACTTTCAGGATTACAGTGCCCAGCTGTATATAGCATCTATACCTTGTCAGAGCTGAAGTGTGCAAGAAAACACCCAAATGTCCAACTGGAAGGCCAAAAGCCTGCAATTAATCAAACATGCAACTAAACAAAGGCTCATTTTTGTGAGATCATTACTGCTCTGTAGAATACCCTGCAGTGAAGGATCAACCCCGAGAAGTCCTTAACATTGACAGTTGCACCCTCTGGGATGCTAACTCAGACCAAGGAGTTACTCAGTGGACACCAGTGTAGCAGACCGAACACTCACACAGGAGAGAGAAGAGAATTTGTAGTACCTACTATAAGTCTGCAGAAACAAAAGGTGGAGTTGTAGAAGTGTGACAAGGAAAAAATTTTCTGTTATTGATACTGTCTTATCACTTAGATGATCCTGCTAACAATTTCCATATTCTCATCTTAAAATAATAAAATTTAAATCTATTTGAAGGCCTGTACACCAAGCTGACATTTTGTACAGAATTTAAACACAGAACAGACCAAGAGACCTAGCAAGAGGTATAAATATGAGAGTGAAAAACCAAATATGTACAAGACCTAGGACTTTACCACCTCTTGCACAACTGAGATAAAAATAACTGGGGGAAGCAATTTCACCTTTGCTAAGACTCGTTTAATGAGGTGCTCTTCTACTTTCTTGAACTGTCCACAAACTTTCGCCTTTTCCTCTAATATCTCACATACAGCAAACGATGCCACTGTGTCCTTGAGCTGACTCCCAAGGGCTTCTGTGTTGAACATAAGTCTACTAGGAGCTTCAGCAAACACCGTTCTTGAACAGATGCCCTCAGCAGGCACCAAGCCCTGAGTCACATCAGTGCAGCTCACTTGTTTTCTTGCCTTTCAGTAGAAGCTGGCCCAAATCACACAAGGGAATTCTGCTTACTGAGATTACCTGAGGGTCAATGTTTTATTTACTTTGGTGAAATAATGAACGACTGTACTCAAAAAAAAGTTTGTCAGCTATGGAGAAAAAAGCAGCTCTGCCAAGCTTTACTAATGTTATCCCCAGTTAAACTGTACTTTTACCAGGATAATCTTAAGTTTGTTCATTGACCAGCTCAAGGTCTTTTTCATATAGAAATGCATATTTTTTAGTTGGGAAAGAGGGAAGAGCGAACTAAATTGCTGTACAATATTACACAGTGTTTAAAACTACTAATTTGGTATAAATTTTTCAAAATCCCAATCCTTGGTCCAGGACCTTCAGGTTTAGAGCCTTCACACTATCTCTTGCAAAATAAATACTGGTATTTTTGTCTGACAGGTTACCCAGGGACTATTCAGTGCAGTTATTTATGCACAGTCTCCTGCTTGGGTCAGTCTTTTTTTACTGTTACAGTCCACAGAATGTAAAAAAAGAGGACTTAAAGAGAGATCCACTTGTCTTTCAACTATTTAGGCATGCCTGCAACCCAGACATTTGGCAGCAGGCAGCACACAGAAACTTCTACTGAGTAAACAGGTTTGTCCAACACAAGTTACAACCAGAGATACAAAGCAAATTAGGGCAAAAGCAAAACCAAAACATCTCCGGATTTCTCATCCTTCTCATACTCTGCCTTGAAAAGAACCAAAAGGCTCTAAAACTGGGAGTGAGAATGGCTGGGAAGGGAGGAACTTTGTTGCTCAACTTGCAGTAATTATGCTTGTTGTGACGGCACAAAGGATATGCAAAGGTAACAGGATTAAAAGTAAAGACTCCTATGAAAAACTTTTCTCTTAATTAAACATTCTTGTGTGCTAAGATCTGAGCTCTCCTTTCTCTGGTCAGATACGCCTATATGATGACAGCAGGAAATGTATCTCACTCTTAGAAGCTAGGGGCAGAGGGGCGTAGTTTCCCACTTCTATGAAACCTGACCTTTAAGTGTGAATCTCTTCTGCTGAACTACCCTGCCACCACTGAAGTGACACAACTCAGAACATAGGTCCCACGTGGGAAGCAGGAAAAGGATATGCAACTCAGGTTGACACTACGTCTACCTGTCATGTCAGGAAACACAACCTTTTCACGCAACAGGTCAACGCATCTGTCCCAGTCCAGCCCACCACATAGATCATGGATGATTATACTAGGAAAAATATTCAGCGTTAGACTTGGGAAAGATTTTGACTGTGCCAGTCTAGTAGACACACGCTTATACCAGGAGCACTTTACTAGGAGGGCAAGCCTACACACTGAAGCTGAGGTGTACCTAAGCATGGACATGATCTAAGATATTTTTAACTACATCCATGATGAGTTTTGTCAGTCTGATGAGTAAGAAAGAAGTGAGGCCAGCACAAAGGTGACATGCAAATCCAAATTCAGCTGAGGCAAAAGAAGAGTCAAAAGACCTCGTTCTGCCCCAAAAAGACTTAACCTTGCCACAGAAACAGGCTATGGATATGACTCTGAGACAGTCACATAGGCCCACAGTTCTATGATTTTGTCTGCAAGTTACAAATGCAAGCCCATGATCCCACCCACATACCTTTCCACTTATGTACACACATCTGGTGTTTTGCATAAATGTGAAAAAAGACTTTTGCTTCTCCCTGCATATGTGTGTGGGGGGTTTGTTGTTTTTTGGGGGTTTTTTTTGTTTGTTTGTTTTTTTGGGGGGGGGGTTGTTAACTGAAAAATGGGGATACTTACTGCATTTGGGGAGGACTGTAGCAGAGGCAGAGAAACTTACTTTGTGGGGCTCTGAGCAAAACCTTGAAAAGCTGAGATGGAATAATCAGGAGGCGTGTGATAGTTACCCTACTCAGGTGGTCAAACTGTTTTGGCTCCCTTGGTTTTGATTTGAGATACTCTTTCCCACTGAATAGTGCCATTTTAATTGCCTTTTTGGACATGAAATTCTGCTTTAGCAGAAACAGCTATTTGTAATATCAACATCTGTTTTAAATTACACGGAACGGTAATTTTAAGTTAGCAGTTTCTCAAATTTAAAACCAACCATGTACTTCAAATGTTTATTTTTAAGTTGCAAAGGCCTAGGCCTGTGTGGGGTTTTTGTCTTCACAGTATTTTTCCTCTGACTGTACGTGAGGTTGCAAAACTACATTTCTGAAGACATTATAGAGATCTTTTGATCACAAAAATCAGATCTCACATATATGGGCAATACTCCAAAAAATACCAAAGTAGTATTATTTATGCTAGGGCCGTCCTTGGTTCATAAAGAAAATGGAAGCTTAGATGCAAAGGCTTTCCCGTTGCTGTATTAGACTACCACTACATCAAGACAATAAGGTGGTCCTGACCAGAAGGCCTTGAGTCCTTCAAGTTCCACTTACTAACAGACTACCACTACTAACAACCTCCCTGGACAAAAACTGCATTTCCATACATTTCAGTACTTAGAAATGAAAGTTTTTTGAGCATGAAAACCCAGTAGCAATGCCTTAAAATCTAACCCAACAGATACTCCTCAAAGCTCTGTGCTGCGTGTTTCCTCTGCCTCCCCCTTAAAGTCTGTAAAGGCTGTACTCCAAGATGTAAATCTCACCTGCTAAAACTAAGCACTGCCTCCAGTACCTTTTTTTTTTTTTTTTTTTAAATCTAAAAGTAGTGCTGGTTATAAAGTTGCCATTTAACAATAATCAAAGGGGTATACTACTAAACAATCAACATAAATAACTTGTGAGTGTTGGGGAGAGTTGTTTAAAGGTCATACTTTTTCCTCATCTGTTTACTAAATGTTCTGTGCCCAAAGCCTTCTTGCCATTGAGCATAAGGAGCTATTTAGAACTAAGAGACCTTACAAAGCTAGGCTCAGCAGGGTGGATTCAGGTGTAATAAACACACTTTTTTCTACATACACACTAACAAAGCTACTTCGTAAACAACACTTTATTATGAAACAGAACAAATACAGCATAATGCATCTAGCAGGAGCAAGCTGCAGACACAGAATAGAAGAACAGCAATGACTCACACAACATACATAATCCTGAATCTAAAAAACAGGAGAAGAAGCAGAGGACAAAGACATTTGCACAGTTGAGAGCTATAAAGTGGTATTTTCTGCTGCAGTCATTCAGTCCCCAAGCAGATAAAAAAATAGCAAATTAAAAAAAAAATTCTAAGTCATACATATATATACAAGTTATGGGATTTTTGTGGTCAGTATTATAAAGATTTGTTTTCAGATGTCAAGACACAGCTTGAAAGTAACTTCATTTAGTATTACATGTCACTCTACCTCCTTCTAAAAAAGTGAGGGTTAAAATACCATGAGATTAAATACTAATCAGCAGCAATGGAGACCATTCAGAATTTAGCAAGTCAGTTGATAGAGAGCCTTGAGCAGTCAGGCTTGGCAGATAAAACCTAATCTAAAAGCTCAAAGCAAACTTTAAAGCTACCTCGAAAATTAATATACTGTGATAAAGAGAAAACAGGGAATAATTAGGCTCTTACTACCTGGGTTAATCTCCCAGATCAAAAGCAGATCTTTCTATGTTTGCTATAATGTAAGATTTTTCTTTTTATTTGATGGAATTTGTTTGAATACTTCAGCCTGCAGACAAACAGCAGCAAACAAGATTCTCAAAGACTACAGAAAAATAAAGTAATTCAAACGTCAATATTAGACTTCATGCATCAGAAACACGACAGAAAACTGATCCTAATACTTTGAGGCTTTTTCTACTGGAATGATCTACCACCAATTTAACTAAATTTCATATTACTTAGAAGCATTCACTTTCTTATTCAAAGATGAATAAAGCCGGATCTTTGAAATACTCATTAAAATACATTTAGGATATTCAACAAAAACAAGTTTTGGGGAGAATGGCATACAGCCCTCATCTGCAGTGGTTGTTGTCCCCCAGAGCTCAGCAAGACCCACGCTGGAGCAGAGCAGCAAGCTGCGATTCAGAACACACCGAAGTGCAATTCTTTGTTTCTGGGCTGCTTCTTAAACACTGCTTCTGCACTCGCTGCCACAGCAGCCCGCGCGCGGAGCCACAAACCCAGCTACACTGCAGAGGGCTGCTACAGCTCGGTCATGCACACAAACAGAAGAGGAAACCGGAGTAGGAGTAAGGTACAAATGAATTCTAGAGAGGTATGACCCATCTATCAAACAATCCTGCCTGGCACGTCAGGTTGGCTTCTACGAAGAGAAATAAATAATCATTCTCTGCTCTTATTGGTGTTAATTTTACATATTTGGGAATCATCAACTGTGGCATATTTACGCAAACAAACGTAACGAAAGCCCTAAGGTAGTCAAACACTATTTTGTCCCTTTTTAATATACTTATATTTATATTACTATAGACACAACTGTTTTGGTATGCCTACCATGAATTCACTGAGAGCTGCAAGCACTTAAGTTTTCCCCTTTCCTGCCTTTTAGACAAGTCAGTCCTAAAATCTCTTAGATTTCTCTTGCCACGTTTAAGATGCTGAGCTGCTTGTTGCCAAGCAAATGCTAGGGGCAGGAGATGACAAACAGCGTACATCCTCAAACATCAATCACCCACAGAAAGGCTCTCAACCAGATGAATCAGAAATCCATGAGGAAGAGATCTGTGAGGCGGTGTACAGATTAACCGAGCGGGACCCGGCCCGGCGCCGTGGGGTCGGAGCCTGCAGGCCGGCAGGGCCCGCTCGGTGGGGCGGTGGCTGCCGAGCCTCGGCAGCATCGGGGGCGCGTTTTGACAGCTGCCCGTGTTCCCTGCGCACCATGAATACTTTGACGCCAAAGTTGCTGCTGGCAGACGCTGCTGAGGCCGCC